TATATATATACTATTAATTATTGAAAGTAATGCTCCTGTTTTACGCGGTGAAATAATTAAATGTATTTATTTTGATGTCATACTTACATTTGATTTTGGATAAATGAAAGTTTGCAAATACATGAGATATCGCAAACGTTTGAATCGTTAGGGTTAAGAAGTTCGTTGGAATTATATACATGGCCGTTAATATAACAATTGTCCCTAGATCTTAGTTTGATATGATTACAGTTGAAACTTTTCGGGCAAATGTCCTTATTGTTGTATATTGGCGTGCATCCAAGATCCTTGTAATACGTCAATGGACCCGGGCATTCAGATATGTCTTTATGAAAAAGAAAACATCAAAAGTTTTAATAATTATAAACAAGTGAAATTAATTCGAATCACGTAGGTTTTCTATTTTTTCTGTTACTAATCATATTATCAGTCTATCAACGTAATATTTGGCTAATTTCATATGGAAGTATTATGTTCTAAAAGTAGTTAAAACACAATTACTTAAGCGAAATGAAAAATGAGATATTGATTTTTCTTTACGATTTTAGCTGGTTAGCTCTTTACTTCGGTTATCTGCGACAGCGACGGTGACGAACGCCACAAAGACGCACAATTGAACACAAATACGTGTACTTTCCATGATCGAACGCGCGCAAATACATTATAGACTGAGTGTTCGCATTACATTACTTATACTGTTGCGACAACCGATTCGAGAAGGGATGCAAGGTTGTGAAGGGACATAAAGTTTAAAAATAAATATAAGAAAGGAGTCTAAATAGAAAAGAATAGTATAGAAGAATATAAGCGTTGTATACAATCCACATAAATATTTAATGTTATAATCATATGTTTCGAATATAAAGAAGTGGAAAATATCCTCGTCTTTAAAATCTGTATTTTTAAAACTTTTCATTAAGCGCAATTGCGTGTTAAACATTTAGTGTAAAATAAAATTCTAGTGTAGAATAAAATTCTCGTATTATTATATTGCGTCGTTCGTAAAAAATTAAGAATTAATTGACTTCGGTAACGAACATAAAAAAATTAATGTCCTTTGTGCGTGTCTCGAGTTTGAAGCGTAACCGTATTGGAAGTATAAACCGCTTGAATGTGAGAGGGGTGGGGGTGACCGCACGGCGCTCGGTGGTGACTCGGCGTTTGCTTCAGTCAGTTCGTTCGCGACCTTCACGTCGGTAGTGCCGGAGCGTTTAGTGTGTCTTTCCCTTCTTTCTCGCACGCGGCTAGTTTCTCGGAAGTTCAGAATTTTGGAGTAATCTCTCTCTCTCTCTCTCTCTCTCTCTCTGTCAAAAGTGTGGCGCCCATTCCCGCAGACGGATGTTCCCGTGTGGACGGAAAGAAAGTAAGACATTAAATTTCTACTTCATACACGTCGTACGTGCGAGATCGCCAATCACCGTGGTGGCCATGTCGCGTGGTGCGGTGGTGATTTCTATTCGTCATCTATCGTCATCTACACTCGGAGGAGCAGAGTGAATGCACGCCGGTAAAAGATTCCTCGTCTCCGAGAGCAACAAGTGAGCGCGGTTGAAAATATCTATCGAACTTTTCGGTCCTGCGCGTCGGCCGATTCGAAACGCGGAGCACTCGTGGCTAAATTCACGTGGTTCGAGTTTTCGCTTTCGCGGGAAGCGTTCGCGTCGTGTTCGTCATTTCGGAGATATCGCGCGGGGAAAATTCGCGAGTGCGTGACATCGAGAATCAAAAATCTGTTGATGTCAATGGATTAACGTGCGCCGACGGCGAAGACGGCGAAGACGGAGGTGCGACGCGTTAGCGTCGCTCTGAAGTTGTCCGATGGAGACGAGATAACGTCGAATAACATAGCGATGATCGTTCCGGAAATCTCGTCGTGTAGAGAAAGCGAAAGTCGTCGATGTGTTTCGGTATGATCGAGTGTCGTTCAGAAATTCGCGATAATCGTCGACGAATTAGCGAAACGGAAACGCGACGACGAGGTGTGGATAAGTTGCTGATTTTCGCGCGCGATCTATCACGAGGCGATCAACATGGCGATACGACGATGCGACGCGAATCGATGATTAACGAGGGCCGGAGCAAAGTGAGACAGTAATTTTTCACTCATCGTTTTCCTTTTTTATTCCCTTTTTTTTCGTTCGACGATTTACGGACTATGTGAGTGCCTCCTGTCAATGATCGTCTTTGTTCGGTGGTGTCAAAGAATTATAGGAATCCTCGTGGACCATGGCCACTACCACGAAGAAGGAACATGCTAGCAACGCCACGTTACGCCTCCTTGTTGTTGTCTTCTCGTTGTTCCTGAACGACCTGACAGCCGTCCAAGCGCGCGGATTTAGACATAGTCTTAAGCAAGGTAAGTACCTACTATTTACTACGTTAAAAAAATTTACTAAATTTTAATAAGTATTTAGTTGAATAATAAAATATTTATTAAATGTAAACATATATTTATTTGGTACAAGAACCATTAATTTAATTTAAAAATTGTTTTATTTATAATAAGTAAATGTTTCATTAGTATTATTTAAACAAATATTAAAATTTAGTAATTTTTTAAATTATATTTATTGCTTTTAGTTTATCTAAGACAATCTGGTTTAGTGTTTTTGAATCATAATATTTGGCGTTGAATAATGTTATTGAAAAAAAATAGAAAAATGTATATTTTAATTTCTTGTGTTTTAACGGGAGAATTTTTTATGTTTTGATTTTTTTATTATAAATTTCAATAGTTGACTTCTTTCAATTAATATTGTGAAACGCAAATGTCTCTTGAAAGAAACTTTAGAGAAACAATCATAATTTAGAGAGTTGTTATTTTATAATTATTTCTAAAATTTTTTTTATCATTAATTTATTCATTGCGTTATGAAAAGTTTTTTTAAAGAAATAATTTAAAAAAACATTGACCCAAGCAGTTTTAGATGCAATAAATGTTATTAAAAAGAAATAAGGAAATAATAGAATTTTAACTTATTGTTAGATATATTTGAAAGTAATTAAACTTTTATATTGATATAATACAATCAAAATTAGATATTGATATAATATCTGGAGATTATTAAATTTCAAATAACATCTATATTTTTATTGAGTTGTAATATTTTATTTGTTCTACTTGCAATATGTTATTTAAAATAGAATTTCATTTTATTTATATAACATTTTAGTCTATGAAAAATTGAGACATTCTATATGTTACAAATTATTTTATTTTTTTGAAGATGTATTATACACATTTTCTCTCTTTGGTTGTATTCGACAGAAAAATCAGCTTTGCAATTGTTATAAGATTTTTTAATATGATTTATAACTTTATACAGATCTAGTGGTGAACTAAAAGTAACCAAAAAATTTTATAATTGCAAAGCTACTTGTTTCTGCTAAACACAGCTAGCTGATGCGATTTATATTTTTATTCTGATTTATTTTATTCAACTATTTCGAACTTTTATGACATACTTCGCACGATGAGATCTTCATTTCCATTTATACATGTATGCCTTTTAAATGCAGATTACGATATCATTGCCATGCGGCCATGACGTTATAGCGTTCGGATTTGCATAAGACGTAAATATTACGCATACGCATAAAATGCGACCATTTGTCCATAACGCATTGAACGTTATTCAAATCGGTGCAATAACAAAATGCCTCGAGCTTGTCGCGATTGAATTTTAGTGGGAGCAAACTGCCTGTTTTTAAGAAGATCAATACACTATAACACATTAACATACATTTATATGTATATCATATTTATGCACATAATTTTTTTACATTAATACAATTACCAATTCTTTACATAAATTATACATATAAATATTCATAAATTATTTAAAACCTTCAGCTTCAGTCAACCGTAATTGTATCGGGGACATTAGCGGTTAAAGTTGAAGGCATTAAATAATTTATTAATAATATTTGACTATAATTAATATATGTAATCGGTTGATTGAGGCTGAAAGTTTTAAATAATCTATGAATAATATTTAACTATGATTTATATTAACAATTATATATTTCATAAAAAAATACATAAGTAATTATTTTTAACTATGATGAACGTCCATCGTTACACTTTAGTTAATAATATTATCAACATAAAAGTATCAACGTTCTCATATTTATGTAAAGAACCAAGCAAATGAATTACTATGAAAATAAAAAAAAACGTGATGTAAAACCAAATACATCATCAATATAAAGTCAATATATAATTATTAAAAAGTGAATAATTTAGAATCTTATCTTTCATAAAAATATTAATCTAAAAAAATTGAAACGATCAATATAATAATCGCCCAGTGTTTCTACGCAGAAAAAAATTTCTTGTTAAAAATGAATGAAGTAAAAGATTCTGATCGTATCTATATCAATCACAATTCCAGTTATCTCAATTAGAATTATAATAGATTTAATTAGAAAATTTCGATTTGTTCATTTTTAATCATTCTAATTAATGCAACCAGACTCTTTTTCTAGATGTTAAATGTTCAATCGTCATTTCATAAATTATTTCCTAACGTTTGGGCCGGCACGGAAGTTAATTAACCGATACCACATTAAATCTTGCACCGGATTGCACTTTCGAGACACGATCCATGTGCATAACGATGCCCACGCGATGCTGCACCACGTATCCCCCGATGATATTTTCCCGAAATTAAATCCCTCGCACTGCGTGGCGCCTCTTGTGGTTTTCTCCCGCGATAACGTGTAATCTCGCTTCTTAAATTTTGACTGGTTTCCGGCATGACACGAGGCAAAAACCACGCAGTCCCGGACGTGATGCGTGTGCGGTCTTTTAAAATATTGCCGAAAATTCCGACCGAATCCCGCGCGACCTCGTAAAACGTGTGTCTGGTCCGAGAATATTAAGCGTCAGGACATTCCTCAGCCTCCTTCTCCTCCTCTTTGGAGGTCTCTTTGCTTTATATTTAGCAACACGACGACGGCCGCCTCGAATCTCCACCGTAGGGCGCATCGCGAGTGCGAACGCACCCTTTTACCTCGTTACTTCAGGACGATCAAAGGCGGTCTCTCTCGGGGATATCGATTCTCTCATATCGGCGATATCGCGTGTAACGTGCGCACTCGAACGATGAGTAACAAAAATGCCGAGAGACAGGAGAAACGCATGGAGAGAGAAAGCGCGAAGAGGGTAAAGCGTTTCCGTCCGGTGTAATTTAATGCAATTTATGAGCTGGACTTTTCCACGGAGGATTTATTGTAGACGTATAAATAAATAAATCATATCGGTATACATGTATACCGTTTAATTAATATCTGTTTGAAAGCATTAATTAATGGCAATTTAATATTTAAAAATTTTTTTTGTTAGTTTAAAAATATTTTGTTAGTTTTGAAGCTTTTAAAGTATCAAAATATGATATTATTCTCTAAAAATTATTTGTCAAATTATTAGAAAAAAATATGCCCCATTTTTGAAAATAATTTCAGTAATTATTTAAACAAATTTGGAATTACACATTATTATAGTAATCGAGATTTTTCTCACAATTTTTCATATAGCATTCCGAGATTATAAAGTAATTTTGCATATTATAAGCTTATCATATTTTTCAAGTTCATCGAAAAAATTCCGTATGTTAAAAGAATCATTTACATATAGCTTTTAAATTTTGCTTGCGATTATATCGATAACATAAAAATGCAAAAGAAGTATCCGAGATTCCTCGACATAGCAAGGATCACGCCGTTCTAGATCATTGTATTTTGAAGACTCTCTCAAAACGTTTCGATCGTTCAGTAGCTCGTTTATGAGGTAATTAACAGCCGGTTAACGATCACAGTTGGGCCACTGAGTGTAATTAACTTTAGTAGATGCTTTCGTCTTTTGTATCGTTTACGTTCTTACTTTTCGTCTCTCTTTCTCTCTCTTGCTCTTCTCCTTATCCTTTCTTCTTTTTTTTCTTCCGATTTTAAGCCTCTTAGATGCCTCTCTTTTAAGAGGCAAAGCCGCGCGAGAAACACATTTTTAATGACACTTACGCGATGACGGTGCGGCTCTCTCGTATCGATAAATAAAAATAACGCGTGATAATTAACGTTCACCGTCGGCTGTCTCTTCGACGCGAGATCAATCGATCGATCGCACACGTAGCCGAGCAGAGTCGCGCCGCCTCCGATGGGATCTTCAAGATATCGAGATCAAACGGCGCATTCGCACTAGCCCGCTTATATGTTGCTTCCTGTTTCTGCAATCCAGTCGATCGGTTTGCATACCGAGTGGCAAACGCAAATTTCACTCCGGAATATTGCGAAATGTATTCCTCTATCCTGCCGCGCATGTAGCATACAATACGTAGGATATCGTGTTTGCCATCGCGTTGGGTCTTGCTTTGCACTTACGTATAGTCGAGTGGCTGAATGCTTAAGCTTGTTTATGTAGATTTTTTTTGGTACAGTTCTGTGAGCAAAACATGAAATAAATATAAATAAAAAATATATATAAAAAACAGTGTTGTAACATACCTAGATATAAGTACCTAGACATTTTAGCAGTATCTGAGTGCATTACCTAAGTCCTTATAAGCGGAAATACCTATATCTGAATATTTTTTTGTAGAGTACCTTTTAAGTTTAGATACGTAGGTACATGATTTTTTTTTATCTTTATATATTGTTATTATATTATAAACTTAATTTTAACCCCTAGAAGAAATCCACTTTCTCATACAACATTTGAAATGGTGATTTAAAAAAAAATATTACGAATGACAATTATTTAAATATTAAGTACTATATAAGTAATAATTTGATGTAAAATAAAATTCATTTACGTAGTTTATTTTTTCAATGAAAAGTACCTAAAAAATAACTAAATTTTTCAGATACTTCTATACTGTACCTGTCTTCTGTACTGTGTTTATACCTAAATAATGTTTTTAAATTGCATCTTTATATTCCTATAACTAGGTACTTTTTCTACATAATACTTATATCTTAACCTTTTAAAAAATATCTGTTACAACACTGATAAA